TAGAGAGAAAGGTTGAGAAGTACGGTTCACCGTTTAGTTCAGAACATTTTCAATTCGCTGCAATACGCATAAAAGGGAGAAAATCAAAATTAATTTGATTCGAACAAAGAGTGTTGCCAGAAAATTTTGAGACTTATAGAAAAATTCTCCGAAAAAAAAGCTCAAATATTTGTTTCATAGCCAAACAACATAGCTAAAAATATTTTCCTTCAAAAACAGCTAAATAAATTAAACACAAAACAAATAAGAACTTAAATATTTACATACATTGAATTGGAGTAGTAATTAAAATACCTTACAATTGTGACTAGTAAATATTATTAAAATTTTGGCTCAAATCTGCAAATCTATTCCTAAAATATAAAACTATCTTTGGTTTAGTTTAACAGTTTGCTTTCCATTTCCTTGGCCCAGTGAAGATATTACAATATTTAAGGGAAAACGTTCTGAACGAAACTAGGCGATTGATTATAACAAATAATTATTGAAGATGAAACCAGCGATTAGATTACATACTACATGATACCTCCGTGTGACGGTCAATTTTACACACCAATAAATCAACACATTCGCGAAACCATGGGCCAAATATAGGTAGACTGCGTTTTTTGTTTTTCCCTTTGACGTCAGGATTTTTTAAAATTTGAAATTTGCAAAATATGATTATTTAAAAAACTCAGTGCAATGGAGAAAAACCGTATGGGTATTAAATTAAAGAGAAAAATCTATAGAATTAAGGCAGATTAAATTTTTTGGTGCTTAAGATCAAATCCACGAATTTCGTACAATTTTATAAGCTTAGAAAATTAAATTAATTAAAAGCGAATTTTCGTCCTCGTAAACCAATGATTTTTTTTTTTTAAATTACCAGAATTTTCTCTTTCATTTGGTACCCATATTGTTATTCTTAATGGCACAAACGAAGCTTTCTAAGTTTCGTAAGTATATTGATGCTTCGTGTGTTTCGTGTTCACACGGTGTAATCGATATAAAAAAATGGGGTCAGGCATGCCAGAATACCAATTTTTTTACTGTTTGATATTCATCAAAATGATAAAACTCTGTCCAAAAATGAGAAAATTGTAAAAAAATTTTTAGCCAAAATAGCTGACTCGATTAAAAGAAAAAAAGGCTAAAAATGTAGTTAATAGCTAAACGCAAATTTCTATAGCTAAAAGTCGAAAATAATAGCTAAATCTAGCTACAAAATAACTCAACTGGCAACACTGGCGTTCAGCACATTTTTGTCGCGCTCTCAGCGAGACAGAGTGGAAAAGGAACGTATAAAATTACTTACAAAAAAATGTTCGGACACGAGCGGTGAATCCGCCTTTATATTTTGATGTAGGAGGCAAGAGAAATAAAAAAAAAATCGATAAGCCCAAAAGAGGCACAGAAAATTCGATAGGGCCGAAATAATTTATCAAAGGTGAGACCCGAAAAAAATATTCGTTTTCCAATCATTTTCGAATTACTAGCTAAGCCCCATGATGCAATAATACAAGGTGGTATCAATTGTGACAGCTCGATTTGACACTGCCTTAGCTCAGTAGAACGAGAAGAAAAACGGGAAGAAATTAAGCCCCATTTGGGGGAAAAATATAAAATTTCACATTTTTTCCTTAACAAAATTTGCTTTTTTATAGTATATTCGTAATAAAATGAAATAAAATAAGATAAAATACCTTTTAAAGAAAAAAAATGTGTATACTGAGAAAAAAAATAAAAATTTCAACCATATTATTAGGCAAAGAATTGTTAAAGAAGTAACACTGTCTCACCTAAGCCAGTCAATATGGCGGAAGAGCAAGAAGTTGCCAACTGATAACACCTGTATTATTGCATCATGGCCAAGCCCAATGTTTATTTGGTACTAGTACCATTATTTTCTAGACCAATTTCTGACCAAAATCACTAGTTTTGTATAAATTCAATAATTAGTAAATAAATACTGGTTTATGAGTCATATAAACTGTAAACTATAATATTGGGCTAAATACGATACTAAAAATAGGGGTATTCCATGCAAAAAGCCTCGAAATCACAATAACTAGAACAAGCTGTGAAAATTTTCGGCTGTGAGTTTATTAGTTTGAAACACCTTTGATGTAAGAATTTGAATTACATACATACATAATGTAAAGGCAACAACTGGAGATACCTTAGAAATTAAATACCTAAAAATTGGAATATTCATTAGCTAGTCTGTCCTGTTCAACACATGGACGCATTCCCAAATCATTTATTCTCTGGAACTCATTTAAATAAACAGAGTTTCTTACAGCCCGACCACAATGAAAACCACGAGCTACAAATTATTTTAACACGTACTCTTATGTAGATAATTATTTTGGCAACGACCGGGCTACGCGACGGCTGTGGTTGTGGCCAGATCTATTTCTATTTTTCTGGCGACAGATAAGGTTCTTCCTCTTCTTGTATGTCAAACTCATACAAATTTATGATGTCGCTACCGCGTTCAAAGAAATCATGTCGCCATCGACAAAGCGTTTAGATAATGAAGATGATAAATTGGAAGCTGTCGTCCGTAGCTCGTCGTTTTCAATGTGTTCAGAACTTTACTTTAAATTTGAGCGAAAATACTCTATAATTCCACCTTATTATAATTGGTCATTTATATGGATAATTGTTTCAATTGATGAATGCAACTGTGGCCACCATGTTTCGGTGATGCTCAGAGAGAGCTTCTACTCCGTGCACGTTTATACCAGCGATGGGCAGAGAGAGCTTTTACTCTGCACACGCCTATAGAAAATGTATAGGGATCTTAAAAGAGCTTTGCCCGCGGGCAAGGAAGTGCCCATCAGTGGTTTATACAAAATGTATAGAAAGCTTAAAAAAGCTTTGCCCGCGGAAGCCGTTTTGAGCATCAATTCCATGATCCAATGATCGGATCTAAACCAGATTAGTATGGGACCACCTCTGAGACACTACCTTTCCGATACAAAAAGAATTATTGACGTGACGTGACGGTTGACGTGGTCCAAAGTTATGCGGTAACATACATAAAAAAAGAAAATACAAACAACAAAAAAAATATTCCGACGAACTGATAACCTCCTCCTTTTTGGGAAGTCGGTTAAAAATACAGAGCCGGTTACGATATGAGAGAGTATTCTACTTTGTGTGCACCCATATAAAATCCTTAGAAAGTTTCTCCTGTGGTATATTATCTGCTTATGAGTCATGACTAGCTTTAAGTCAGTGACGATCAGAGAACTGTGTTCGTACATAAGTAGTTGTTAGACATGATCAAATTAAACAGACTTTTTTTAAGCTTTCCTTACATTTTATGTAGACGCGCAGAGAATAAAGCTCTCTCTGGGTGTAGCTTATTCACATAAACCACTAATGGCCAGAGAGAGCTTTTACCCAGTGATTTTTTTTATATCGGCAGCGACGTCCAGAGTGAACTTTTACTCTATGCGTGTCCCTTAAAAGCTCTCTGTGCCCATTGCTGATATAAAATATATACAAATCTCGATATAAAAAAAGGTAACGCAGGCTTAAAAACGCTCTGCTGGCGCACCAGTGCAGCGTCTCATTTACCCATATAAAATCTGTATGTTTTGGTTGTGACTGGTTTGTGGATGTTGCATATCTTTTTAGCATATGATTGCAATGCTTTCATGGAGGGCTTAATAAAATCAAACGTGATGTATTGATATTAGATTTCATAACACTGTTGATTGAAGGTTTCTTCTGCGCCGAGTGTGGACAAAATCATTTTTTGTGTGTATTTTTCAAACAAATTATGCTGCTTATAATAAGTATTTCAAAACGAATTATACTATTTCTTAATTAGCAAATTTTTTGCACTAATTGATTTATATTGGAAATTTTTATTTTAATTTTTTATTTTCGTTATTCCTTTTAAGTACTTAACAAATTTTAATATCTAGGAAAATATACTATTAGCAACATACATTTTTGAATTTTCTACTGTTTGTGGTACCAAAGAGAACTTTTCTGAAAGTGAAGCCTCAACGCTATTTGAAATAATTTAGCAATTACCTAACTCCATACGTTTATAGCGAATAAGAAGTCATACGAAACTCAGGCAAAATAAAAATCTTTCGAATGCGTCATAGAATTTTTAAATGTCCATTCAAAAGTGGAAAACATTCGCAAAACAAACTATATCACAAATATGCTGCTGTTGCCTATAATTTAATTATAAAAATGTTAAACCGTTATAGCGATTCAAGCACAGCTTGTGATATTCATTATTTTCATGCATTTTATAAATTTATTTTTCTTCGTATTATTTATGTTTAGTTTGAATTATATTTCATTTTATATATTACATATATGAAATAATTAAATTAAAGTTGGCAATTTTCACCAGTCTTATGAAATAAAAATATTGTTTTCTTTTCTTGCGTTGAACACGTACACAGATATACAAAATCTTCACATTCCATTATTTTTAACTCTTAATAGCGCATGTTTTTCAAGAAAGTTAACAAAAAAAAGATATATATATATATATATTTATATATAAATAGCAAAAACGAAACAAAACCAGCTTCAATTAAAACTAATTTTAGAAGTAAAGCCATTTATATACTTGCATATATCTATTTAATGCTAATCAGCGCTACTTTTCAAAGCTGCTTGACATTTGCGAATTTATTTCAGTTTGACATTTTGCATCCACTCCTCACATTTTCTGACTATTTAAATATTTTCTATCGTCTATTTTAGAAGCTAAACATTATGCTTTTCTTTCTTTTTGTGTTTCGATTCATTCATTTAACAGCGACACCTTTTTGATAAATTTATGATTTCCAGTTTCGTTTTCGATTAATTTATTGACAACATTTTATTACAACTATTACTCCTTATGTTTTTGCTAATGGATTTGTAGTAGAAACAAAAATATTTTTAAGTTAACTGTTTTAGCGTTATATGCCGCTGTATCGTTAGAACTAAACATTACTGTATCTCGTCTCGATTTTTGTGTTGAACGTTTATAGGTGGACCATCTCGCGCACAATGGGAAGATGTTACCGGCTCAACACCATTGACATTCGTAAACGATTGTGTTTCATTTACCACAACCGTATCGGCTAGATTTTGGTTGATGGACTGCAGGAACATCTCCGAAGCTACTAAGATGGCCACCGAACTTTACAAGTACGTAGCGAATATTAAATTTTCATACACATCCACGCATTTAGGAGAATTATCCACACGATATCAACAAAGCTAGAAGAAATTTTGTAATTTTAATTAATAAGTTAAATGAATTACCTAAGGTTGAGTATCAATCCAAATGGTTATCAAAAGGGTTTATTTCTGAATACATGTAGGAGTGTTGCCACCTGTTTCAAAAGTTAAAATTCATTTGAATTAAGGGAATTAGGTTATTGAAATAGATAGGTATCACCATACGGGAGTCGGACGAAAGAGGTTTTAGCTTGAGAATATATTGAAGTGCGTCGCCTGTTTGTAGTCAAATTTAATTTAATTGAAATAATATTTGTGTCAAACGAAAGGTTTATGACATCGTATTTGTTATTTTATTACGAATTTGTTCTAATTACATTCCTTTTAAATAACTGGAATATTAAATTAACTTTAAAGTTTTAGGAATGTTTTATTTTCACTTATTTCTTGTTAAATATGTCGAATTTTTTCTCGTGGTCTGATACACATATTTCAGTTGCCTAATTCCTTTAATTGAATTGAATTAGATCTTTTAAAGAGGTGGCAACCCTTCTACGAGTATTTTAGAAGCAAGAGATTTTGAAAACCATTTCGATTCATACCTATATTGTATTACCTAATTTTTTAAACTTATTAAATTTTAATGGAATTTGTAACAGATGGCAACCCTTTTCAAAAAATAAAGCTTTAGTGCACATATATGTACAGGTAAAGCCCTGTAATTTGACGAACTATAAGTAAAAGCTACATGAACCCAAATTTTCAGATTTAAACTGGATTAACAGTAAAAGTATGAAAGCTATCTAAAAACAAATTGCAGTTTTGAATTCACCATCCTCAATTTCACTAAGAAACAAAATTCATATTAATCCCTCTATAATAAACGGATAAAACGGAAGCCTTCTAAAATTCTAACGATTTCATATAAGAGTTCTTATCGGTGTCAAAACAATACGTTTCTTCTTCTTCTTCTTGACGGTTCGCTATCTTTAATAGATTGCTCTACTTGTTGTCGAGTTATTGCAAAGTAATAATGAATTAAATTTTTTCAAGAAGACATGTCTAATTAAAACCATCTTCCGTTTGCCGGAGATGGTGCATCATACAAAAAACCGTAAAAATATATTTCTCTAAATAATTATTTTTTTTTATTTAGGGAGGTAATCCATGTGCCGTTTATGGCCAAGTTTGTAGTCTTCGCCAAGAAAGTGGAACCCTACGAAGCCCGCCTGCGAGTTTTCTGCATGACCGACGATCGCGAAGATAAGACACTCGAAAAGCAGGAAAGGTTTACAGAAGTTGCCAAGAGTCGTGACGTTGAAGTACTCGAAGGCAAACCACAATTTATTGAAATGGCTGGTAATTTAGTGCCAGTCACCAAATCTGGAGATCAATTGCAATTACAATTCAAAGCATTCCGTGAAAATCGTCTACCATTTACGGTACGTGTCAAGGACCAACACGCCGACATTGTGGGACGTACATTGTTTATGAAGGAGCCAAAAGTTGCAAAGGGCGAGCCACCGCAACATCCCATCTGTATTTTGAATATTGTATTACCCGACATTGTCATACCGGATACAACTACCGAGTTCAGCGATAAGATTACCACAACCTATCGGAGCTCGCTGTTTAGTTTGAGCAAACATCAGAACGATCATTACATCGGCGATATACGTATTGTGGATTTGTCCAATTTACTAGGCAAGGATTGGATACAATTAGCCTCTGAAATCGGTATTAGTACGGAAGAGATTGATGAGATCATAAATCAAAATACTGATAGTATTGCGCGGCAGGCCCAAAGCATGATACGACTTTTCAAGGATAAACCAAATTACGATATACACGCCTTAGAAGTAGCGCTCAAAAATATTGGACGTGATGATATTATGAAAAAGTGCAAAAGTGGGCGGCTTTCACACTCTCGCGACTTTGACGAAACCGACATTATGAAGAATTCGGAATCGGTGGAGGAACTCGTGCGACAAGAGAGTAAGTGGAATGAAAAACATAATTTAAGGAGTATTTCAATAGAAGTTGCTTACACGATTTATATTTTTTTGTATATGTAGGTAAACGAATTCAACAGATCCATGACCATGAGGAAGTCAAATACTCGGCGGAGGAAAAGGAAGTGGAAGAATCTGAATCAGACGAAGAAATCACGAAGCGCACTGTAGCCGAACGACGAGAGAAGATCGTTAAAAGACTCTCCATCGAACGGCAAATTCCAGCTTCATCGCAGAAAAAGGAAATTACACGCGAAATTTCCGAAATAAAACGTAAGAGCCTAATCGAGGACAAAAAGGCTATTCATGAGTCGGAAATTAATATGCAATTACCCACAGATAACATTGTTAAGTCCACTGTTGCTCCCGATCAAGTTATGAAAATGAAAATGGGTAAAATGGATACAGGGGAAATAAGCAAAAGTGATTTTGATAAGGAACTGACGCACAAATTAAAAACTTCTGGACGTAGCTCAGAAGAGGAAGATTCCACAACGGAATATAAGCAAATTCAGGATGATGAGAACTTAAAAATCATACAAGATATTAGCGCTGTAGAGAAATCAAAGCACCTGCAAGAGTCGCCGATTACTTCGGAACAAGAAAAGGCAAAGCAAATGACTGAAGATTTTTTAAATGTAGAAAAACAAACGCAACTTCCAGCAGATATTACCATCAGCGAGAAATTTGTTGAAGAAGTAAAGGAAAAAGAAATGAAAGGTGCGGAAACGGTAGAGAAATCGAGTCAGAAAATTGAGAAAATTATAACTGCTTTTGAGGGTGGAAAATATGAGGATGAACTGCAAAAGCTGCCGCCCACAGAGAGTAAAACATCCATAGTGAACCAGGAGAAGGGTAGCACAATTGAGGACAAAATTGCCGACTTCGAAGCTAGAGGTGTTACCTATGACATGATATCAGTGCTACCAAAAGATATAAAGAAACACGGTGAGATGCCAACAGACGATGTGTATCAGGCAGGCGAAGAGCCCACTAAATCGTTTGAGAAATCCATCACCGAAGAATTTCTAAGTATGGAGCAAAAATCTCAATTGCCTATCGCAACTGAAATAACTAAAAAAACTATTACTGTCGATGAACTACTTCAGGAAACCACACGTCCAGTCGCTGAGAAAAGAACATCTCTGGCCGAAAGGGTGCCAGAGCCAAGAGCGCGACTATCTACAGAAGTGCAGGCGGAGCCCGAAAGTGTCGAGGGAAAGAAGACTCCCGCAGAGCCAATACCTAAAGTCACAGAAATCACAAAAGAATTCGAAAAAGTTATCGAAAAAGGTGGCGAAACCGTTACCACCGCAACTACCGAAACAAAGAAGCTGACGCATGAGTTCTTGAGCATGGAACAAAAGGCGCAGACAGAGGCGAAGAAAACAGTGAGTGAACTTGCAACAAGCACTGCGGAGGTAAGGGAAACGGCTGAAGAACTTTTTGAAACTACAACCGAATTGGAGGTGTCAGCGAAAGACGTCGAAATGGCAAAAATGCAAATGAAAGAAGTTACTAAAGATTGGGCTGCAGACCTTATAGAATCTAAAAAAGGACTAGAAGTAGATTCGAAGACTGAGTTGCAGACAGGAATCTTAGAAAGCGCGCGCAAATTTGAGAGCGCCACAAAGACTGAAGTATTGAAGACCATGAAAGATTTGAAGCAAACCGAGGATAAAGTAGAAAGTAAAATAGTAGCTGACGTGTCTGAGACCACGAAAGACTTAAAAGAAGCTGCTAAAACTGTAGAGGTTGCGAAGATAACGGCAACTGAAACTTTGAAGGAGACGACAGAGGTAACCAAGCAGGAAATAGACACACAAATTGAAAAAGCTAAGAAAGTGTTAAGCAGTGTTGTGGATGTGACAAAAGAAACAGCAGGTCTATCTAAAACCGCGGCCGATGAAGTGAAAATCGATAAGACGGCTAAAGAAGAAAAATCTACAATTGAGACGATTTTTTCAACTCAGCAAGCACAAAAGTCAAGCGAAACGCTGCCTGCTGTTGAAACGAAAAAGCTAACAGCAGACTTCCTGACAATGGAACAACAAATGCAGTTGCCGACCTCCAAAGAACCATTAGAAGAAGATCACAAACATGAACTCTTAAAATCTGCCACTCATACTGTTATACCCTCAGTTTTGGGTGCTACTGTCGTTCCTGGTCTATCCTCTGGCTTGGAAGTTAGACAGCAACCAGCTACAGCCCCGGTGTTAGCAGACACTGAAACTACCGAGGTTAAGAGCGCGATGAGTGATCTGATTAAAACGACAAGCGTTATCATGGCTAGCGTACCGAAACTCGGAACTGAGGAAGCAGTTAGATCGTTGGAGGAAAGTCTTAAAGATATTAAAATGGACGTGAAAGCCTTGAGTGAAGAACCAGCAAAAACAGATACTAAGTCAGACACAACACTAATCGATTTCGAACCTGACATTGTAGTCGATGAGAAAACAACTACACTCAAGATGAGTTCAGCGGTGACGGATACAGTCAAAGAGGAGAGCATTAAACTTGTTGAATCAATTAAAAAGCTAGAAGAAGCAATAAAAGTAGTCGATACGTCAAAAGAAGATGGCATTGAGGTAGCCGCGCCCATCAATGAGGCAGACAAAGTGACTGCAGTGGGCGTAAGAAAGTTAACTGAAGACTTTCTAACCATAGAACAGACCACCCAATTCACGACAAGCACAAAACCGACTAAAGAAACTATTGTAACGGATGCGTATGGTAAAACAACTACACTACCCGCACGCGAAGATACACAGCCAGTAGCGCAAATTGTTAGCAGCACTGGCTTGAGTGAAGAAATTAACAAGATTGTAACGGAGGCGGCAACAAAAATAGACACAATTAAATTGACCGATGACTTCTTGGCCGCAGAACAGCGAACTCAGTTACCAGTTGACCAGCAGCAAGCAACCCAAGCTACAATCGCCCACAAGACAACCGATGAGTTGGCTGCACCGGCACCTGTACAACCACGAAAGTCTATAACACTCACAGACGCTGAGTTTTGCAAGTCAGTTGAGGAGACGATTACAAAGAAGATGAGTGCGGGACAAATTGAAATAGGCGATGAGCTCAAAACGAAAGGTAATCTTTCGAATTTTAATACAATTAAGCGAATTATCAACTTTTAAGTGCTTTAATTGTTTTATTTATAATACAGCGAGCGACATTCCAGATTCACAGACCCCACCACCGACGCCAATCGAAATCAGAACTGATAGGCAAGACACAGTAGAAACATCGCCACGCAAAACTTCCGATGAGAAAAGTAAGTGAGCATTAGAGCTGTAAACGTAACGAAAATTTGGATACCCGTATGTAATCGTTACTATTTAATCGAATCAGCATCCGTATCTTTCGTATCGTTACTTTACTCGTTACTTTTGATACAATCACTTTTACCTCACACGAATCATCGCAACGAAATTCCTAGCGTCAGAAAGTGTTCGTTCGTACATATGCGTGCATGTACGTAAACACACACGCAACACATTTTAGTATCGATACGAACAACAGTTTCCTTCCCGCATAACATGTTATGTTGTATTGATTCATGTTAGTGGTGCACATACGGCACATGGGAGTAACGAGATTATTATGTGAGTAACGATTCGGTACTTCGAATCAGGGGTTGCAGCCGTTACTCAGTAACGAATACATACGGTTTGCTACAGCTCTAGTGAGCATATTAGCTGTAATTGTATTTGAATTTGTATATGCATGAGTAATTTAATGTCCTTCTTTTTTATTCATTGACAGGCCATCTAACTGATACTGTGATTACTTTACATAAGACCACAGAATCGACATTCGAACGTGTTTCGGGAATTTCGAAAATCGGTAAGCGCTTAACGAGCTCCTATTAAGTACATATAATTATATTCTTGTAAGATTACTATCATGTTTTCGTTGCCTTTTAGCATTGTATCAAGTAAAGAAAAATTAAATATTCGACCACCATTTTATTTTTGGTTTGTATGGCATTATGTAGATTTGTTTTGTATTTATCGTAATTTTCTTATAATTAAAAGGATTTTTGTTATTGTATTTACAATTTAATTTACTTAGGCTTTTTGTATGCAAATTCCATTCATATTCTAATGTAATCAGTTATATATATATTTTATTTTTCTCTGTGTATATGAAAAGAAAAAAAAAAAAAAAATTACTTTAATTAAAAAATACCATGTAAAAATTAAAAATACTATAACCGGTTGCGATAAACAGAAGCTAATTGAATGAATTAGCGGCTGGTAGTACATATAATAGAAATTAGTTCGAATTCGAAAATTTATTTTCGAGTACGTTTATGAACTCTAATATGGACAAAACATAAAAATAAATTTATTTCTTAATATGTATTTGAAGTTATTTTATTTTTTAAAAATACGAATGTATTTAAAAGAATACGGGATTTTTTTTTTACCACTTAACACACACATATAGTCTTTAGAAGACAGATAGAATTCGTTATATGTATGTATGTATGTATGTAGTATGTAAATACTACTTACAGAGGAAAAACTGCGTGGCTCTAAGCTTATACATAGATCTGCCAAACCAGACAAAATTTATTAAATTATTAAAGTAGAAATTACGACCGATACTTCATACTGAGAAAGCTTTAGGTGCTGTTAAAAATTAAACTCGTTAAATTAAAGAAGTGTTAGTACCGGCAAATAGCCGGCGCACGTATTAAATATAGTTTGTCCACGTTTCTGAAAACTACCATTACAGGTTAATCAGGGGTGGTTTAGCCCCTTGTTAAAGCATTTTCAATAATATCTTCTGTTAGACTTAATGAAATATACGTAAGTATGTAGTCATAAGTGGTCGGTGCCACGACCGTGTTCCAAAATTCCCTGATGATCTTAGTTTTTTAGAGATTGCTGTGAGCATTAAATTTTAGTAAATTAGCGTCCATAAATTTCGAAATATCGAACTTTCCGAATTTCCGAAATACACGGTTACGTGAAAAATTTGCGTAATTTTAGTCCAAGTTAGTTACCGCAATACACATACGAGGTCATTTTCCAATTTTTTTTTACATCGTTTTCCCTCAATATATTGTAAATATCAATTTTGAGTGCATAAGCTTCAGAAGTTACTGATTTATCGCATAAGTGCGCGCGGGTATAATAAATGGGATACGTGAACAACGTGGCGTATGAGTAACTAAAACTTTACGTGTTGCCTGCATTTACTTGGTGATTTTAAGGAATAGTGATGTATGTATTTTAAATTTTTATATACTAAAAACCAAATTTCCAAGATTTTGCACTGAAGTGACAAACAAAAAAACAAAAACAACGTGAATCAGCTGTTTCTCAAATTCTGGGCACGAAATGTGGTTGTTTGCGTTCCCGTACTTCTGGACTATGTTCCACTTTTGAGAGCAAACTTTTCGCTTATTCTCTAATTAACGGATCCGGTCCGGATTGTTAGGGAAAGAATCTACTATGTAGTTATATGATTGGTGGAAACATGGTGACAGTGGTAATTTCAAGGAAGTCTTTATTGATCCTGCAACACATGTATGCAACATTATCAGACTGATTCCACTTAATTTCCGATTCGCGAATTTATGTTTACTTTTCTTTCTATAAAAGATTCTGTTACGAATTCCGTTTAAAGGTAAACATCCGTTACTGAGATATCTTATAATTTTATTTGGATTACAAGTAAAGAAAAATTTTTCGGTAAAACTAGTTCAAGTTAAGGGATTTTCCTGTCTTTTCATAACACTGCAGCGAAAATCTCAAGTTTTGAAATGATACAAAAAAAAAAACGCAGAAATACGTAAAATTAACTTTGAGTTTTGGATTACGAATCTGTATTCTGTTTTTATAGATCAGGCCATTTTCCCAAAACTTTTTGCATTTCTATGAAAATTAAAGTAAAACTTTACCAGGGAAAGAGTGAAAAAATAAGAGATTTTTTGTAAATTTGTTTCATTAGTATAAAAGCCTGTTCCTTCACAAAAAAGTAGTGAGTGGTCAAAGGAAAATGCCTAATTATTTTTCTTAATAACATATGAGCAGGAAAAAACGTTATGAGCAGGAAAAAACGTTACTCGTACGCTATGTAGTATGTACATGGATATGCTCCGGCATCCTCCTGCACGGCGTATGAGTAACATATGAGACATTAGGGGTGTTCTGCAACCCTTTTATTACCGGCTGATCGATCTGCAAATATTATCCTGATAATGGTTGACTTTCAGAGACTCAGTGGATAAAAATACAGCCTTAACTAAATAATAATTTTGTTCTTAGATTTTTACAAGTTCTACCTCTCCTTGCTACCCTGAACAGGGCCTCGTCTCATGGATGACACCTCAATATACCTTCCGTAACGCTCTGGCAAAAAATATGCCATAACTAAATAATAGGAAAATGTCACTGGCTCTCCTACTAAGTATTACTAATACGCCATATCGTACTCGTACATGGCGTATGAGTAACATTTTCCATGTTAAAATTTACATTATTTTTTATTTGGTAGGGATAAAGATTTATAGATTGAAAGCATAGTAGGAAGAAAAAGAAGTCAGGGAATATTAATTCAGTATATCAACATAGTTCACAGAAGTAATGAAGAATTGCTGTTTTGTAGTCTATTCAGTTCCACCTTTAGCGTTAACGAAAAACATTCTGGACGAGGTTAGATAGGTATGCTTAGGTACCAAAGGGCTGTGAGGTCTACGCGACACTGGTCGTATCAGTTTGGTCACAAAGAGTTTCTCGCATCGTGCTGGTCGAAGATATTGCAACCCAGAATTTTATTTCTCCATGGAGTGATATGATCGTACTTTCTGATACCATAGACTTAGCGTATGACGTTATTCAATGCCACCTCCATTTTATGTGCTGACGCTGAGTTAAGTTTACTGTATGATATAATTCGGAATATGTATGTTCACTGGTGTAAAATAAGCTGAATGGCTAGCTTAAGTCTCGTTTCTAAAGCCGTTTTGCAGGGGAAAATTCGTAAGCTTTCAATTTATGACTACTTAATAAAGATTTAGCCAGGATTAGACTGAAAAAAGACGAAATAAGTAACTGTTAATAAGTAGTTAAACGAAACTCAGTCCACTGGTATAACTGAACAACGGCACAAAACGAAAAATGTCACCATAAGTGTATGACAGTAGTAAGGGTTGCCTACTTCGATTTTCTGACAAAGGGCACAATTGCATCCCAGGTCGGACTGGTAACAAGCCTCATATGTCGATTTGCCACACAAAAATATGGTTATTTATCAACCTAATCCGATATATAACTCAAAAACATGTAATTTTGAATTGTGGCGTTATTGATATGTGTGGGTTATAAAAAGTCGCTCATACGCCATGTATTTGAATAAACAGCAAATTAAGTTGAAGTAAAATAAAACACAATTTGTATTTTGCAAGTTTCGAAATGAAATGCTATATATTTACAACAAATATTTGTTTTAAAGAAAAAGGGCATCAAAAGATGATACGAAAGTATGCGATAGCCAAAACTTTATAAATAATTTTATAGCAAAATAAAAAGGCGAAATTAATAATTATGAAACTATGTCGCCGTACCACTGGGTTTAGGCAATTTACCCGATCTTGTACCTAAAGGTCTGCCACATTAACACACACAGATGTGCCGAAAGCTGAATTTGTGAAGAAGTCGTGCACACTTCTCAAATGCAACATTCCAGAACGTAATGCAGGAATAAGTAACCAAGTTTGAGGTACCGAAAACCATGTTCAACTTATTCGATTCGCTTGATGCATCACCCTTAAAAACTTTTCGGAAGTTTTCTTAAAGCCCAACTTCCTCAGTGCAAAGCATAAACTAAGACTTCAAGCTTAAAGCAAGGCTTAAAGATTAAATATGATTAGCAAAACAGGAAGTCGCTACAATACTTTACAACTCGAAACTGTATTATTATACTTAATCATTGCATTTCGAAATTTCAATTTCTAAAAATTACTTAAGTGATTTAGAAAATAAATTAATTTGATTAGGTGTCTAACCTGAAACGATTGGTAGTACCTACATATATCATGGCAGTACCCTGCAATATAAAGTAGAAATAAAAATTAAAGTACGAGCAAGAATGCTCTCAGTCATCAATGCATAACTAATTTGAACTAATGAACTAAAAATGTTGCTTACATAGTTTTTATATCGATTTGCTGAGAATTTAGGAATTCTTCGATTATTGTACATTGCTTTGTTTGAAATTTTGCATTGTCAAGGCTGTGAGGGCGTAGACACACAACTCGGTCAAAAAATGTAGACCATGGTATTTTGTTTCTATGAAAGACGAAAAGCGAAAACGTTAATTCATTTATATATGTAGATAAATCAACCTATAAAAGGTGCAGCTATACATACATACATACATATAGAGGTCGTAAGTGCAAATATTATGTATGTAGATATACACATATAAAGAACTGTGCTACCCCCTGTGAGGAAACGCACTGGTGTCGAACTAGTTCGGTACCAGAGAATTTAGAACCATGACTAGTGTGCAGAAATTCTCTTTGCATGCTAGCAACTGCATACCTTTTTCTATAGTTCCTAACCAGCCCTAAATTCGACAGATGGGTTCTAGTTCGATCAGCATTCCTTTGTGCATAGTTCCGAACCAGTTCGCAAGTCGACAGACGAAAAAAATATTTTTTCAAACAGAGTCTTTTTTGTTTTTTCCATGGTAGCGATTTTAAATTATTTTCAAAAAAATGTCTCTTTCAATTTGAAATCAAATTGGTTTGAATGAATGTAATTCAAACTGAGCACACTGAACTGAAAACACGTTTACATAACTTTGGATGTAGCTGAGTGTGCAGAGGTGCTTTCTGCTATTGGTTAGATTCAAGAAGATTCCAAGATGTTAAATTCGACAGATGTGATCTAGTTCGTTCTACATTCCTTTTTCTACTATAGTTCAGAACTAGTTCTTAATTCGTTACCTTAGATATAGATTTCTAATGAAATTTTTTTTTTTTTTACAAATAAAGTTGGTATAGTGCTTATCATAACT